ATAATGGAAATTCAAGAATTAAAATTATGTACATAATAAAAATTCAAGAATTAAAATTATGTACATAATAAAAATTCAAGAATTAAAATTATGTACATAATAAAAATTCGAGAATTAAAATTATGTACATAATGGGAATTTCGAATAAATATTATGTCTTGACATAATAAAAATTTCTTTCAAATTAAAATTTTATATGAAATCTAGGATTGAAATGATAGTAGCACGTAATTCTAATTTTCAATTTTCATTATGTCATGGCATAATTTTTATTCACTGAAATTCTATTAACCATGACATAATGTTAATTCGTGAATTTTTATTATGTTGCAGCATAATTTTAATTTACTGAATTACTATGATAGCTTACATAATTTAAATTTCTGCAATTATTATTATGTTACGACATAATAAAAATACATTAATATTATCTCATGACATAATAAAAATGAATTAAAATTATGTCTTAACATAAAAGTAATTCGACATATAAACTGTACCTTTCTCTATATATGGCACGCCGTTTTGCTATTTATTCATAAAATTTTTATTTTGAATTAATTTTACGTGAATACATAATTTTAATTCATTTTTATTATGTTATGACATAATAAAAATGGTTCCGAAAAACTATCTACTTCAGTTTAAATCAATTACTGAAATTTTATTTTAGATTAAAAAATCTTATTAATAAATAGCAAAACGGCGTGCCATAGGATTCCGTCTTGTACAATATATTAAAGGTCAAGGTTAAGATCAAAATCAAGGTCAAAATCAAGATCAAGAGCAGATCAAAGTCAAGGTCATCAGTAAATTAACCTTTTTTTATTTTTTATGTATTTTATAATAAATTTCAATTGATAATATGAATACAGTATCCTATAATATCTTTGTAACATTGAAAGATAATTTATAAATAAAATTTATAAATATTTATTCTAATTTAAAATTTTACATACTTTTAAATTTATTATATAACATTTGTCTTAAAAAAATGAATTACTAATAAAAATCAACATATAAATATTGTTCACTTAAATATATTTATTTATAAAATACAATCATTTTTAAGGTATATTTGCTCAGTCAAATTGTAGGAGCAATTTGCTTTAATTGAAAATCTGATAACAAACGGTCCTTTCGTATCTCTGGTAACTGTGCAATTTGACTTCCGTCTATTATTCCTTCTTTTTCTCGAATTGATTTCATTATTTTTCTGACACAATCAACAAAAGTTAACTCGTTCCCATAAGTTTTGAAGATTTTACAAACTTCTTGTATAAACCATGAGCCTGAATAAATGATAAAGTATAAAATAACATTAGGCTATAATTCGAATTCTCTTATATTTATCATATGTAAATTTCTCTAAATTTTTATTTTATACAATACTAACTTATATAATTCAACATTATATGTATAATATTAGTCTCTACATTCTTTATTTATTAAAGATTTAATCATTAATATAATCAGTAATTAAAAGTACGGAGTCACGAACAAATAATTTAATCTGAATAAATAAAGAATATAGATATCTGCATGTAAAATATAGCTTAGTTATTTACCTTCTTCTTTATGACGTATTGACAAAAAACCTTGCATGGTCGACATAAACATGAAAAAGTTTTCAAATTGGCGTATATCTTCTATAGGCGCAAGAGAATCAGATAAACCGTCTGTTGTCAAGCAATTATTTGTACTTCCTAGAAGTAAAAGTTACATAGTAGGTACACAAATAACATTTTATGGAATGTGTATTGCGAGAAAAAAAAATAAACATTTAACTATTATCTATTAAAACATATCTAATAAATATAAACTACAGTATATTAAAGAAAATTTTTCGCATTTCTTTTAAAATTATAAAAAAATCATTATCAATAAACACAAAAATATCTTTAATTTTTTGTAATACTTTGTATTTACAATAAATAAAAGTACCTTCGCTTGTCTGAAGCAAAAGCTAATCGTATGTTTCGGCCTGTATTACGAGCGGTATTCAGGTGTTATTAAAGAATTTTACATTAAATTGTGATCCATTTTAATTCGTAGCCAACATTTCGACCTACTTTGTCTTCTAAACTGTTGTTACATTCGAGTTAATAATATTAATGTCTATTGAAGCTCACATAAGAAAATTATATACAATAACATTAAATTTTGATAGTCATCGTCGGTGATGCGTCACGCAAGCAAGGTCAAAGTCGTGCTCATATTAGCGCTGTCATCAAGCACACATTAAAAAGTTACCGATTACATTATCGCGGTTGACAAATTCGTATTCGTTACTTTCCTTGTAGCAGCAGTCCTCTATAAGGCCTGACACAGCAGATATAGTTATGCAGGATTTGGAAGAGGAGATGCTTAAATCACTAAACTTCCGAATCCCATTTTACCGTCGTTACGTAGATGATGTCGTACTTGCAGCACAAAGGACAAGCATTGCTGACATATACGATCGTTTCAACAAATATCATGAGAGACTTAAATTCACGATTGAATATGAAGAAAATAGATCTCTTAGCTTTTTGGATCTGAAATTGATTGTGAGTAATAATAGGATCATTACAGATTGGTTCCATAAAAAAACTTTTTCAGGCAGATATGCTTGTCCTTCTTTTCAAGCCATCCCAAACAACAAAAATTAGGAACAATATACAGTTTCGTGGACAGAGCCATATTGTTGTCTCACCCTGTTTTTCAGAAAAAATCTATCATTGATTGTTGACATTTTATTAAATAATGGATATCCGGTGGACTTAATATTCAGACAAATCAATTTGAGAATTAAAAAGCTCCATTTCAACAAAAGAAAACCCGCGGATGAAAATAATATGGATGACAGCGAAAGTACGGAGGGGGAAAAAAGAGATACATCGCCCTTCCGTACTTAAAATCTGCTTCTGAGATCATTGCGGCATCGGTCGATAAAACGAATCTGTCCATAGGTTATAGAATTATCAAGAAACTGAACAATTTAGTTAGGGTCCAAAAGGACAGGAATCCTCATTTTAATAACAATAATGTAATCTATAAAATCTGCTGCAATGATTGTAATGCATCATACGTGGGTCAGACTAAAAGACAGCTAAATACCAGACTGAGGGAGCATAAATATAATGTTAATTTAGACCCGTCCAAACATTCGGTAGTCTTTGAACACATCACCTCACTTAACCATTCGTTTAATTGGGATGAAACACGAATTTTAGATTATGAGGGTAAATATAAAAAAAGAATTATCTCTGAGATGATCCACATAAAGGAACAAACCAACGGAATTAACTTGAACAGAGATACCGAATCATTGGACAGGGCCTATTTTGACATTCTAAGTGAACTATCTAACTTTTAACATTAACAT